AAATAGGGTCGTAGCCGCCGGGCTACGGTGACAAGCGCCAATGCCAGCTTTTCAATCATTTGGTATCTTCTCTCTGTGTCTTGGAGGACTCGGCTGATGAAGTAGATAGGTGTCTGTACCTTTTGGTGCTCTTGTACGATGACTGCACTGATGGCGTTTTCGGCTACTGCCAAATAGAGAAGGAGGTCGGTGTTGTGATCCGGCCTCTGTAAGATCGGTGGGGTTGTGAGGAAAGATTTGAAGTTTTGGAACGCTTCTTCGCACTGATCTGTCCACAGGAAACCCTTTGGCTTCTTTAATAGGGTGAAGATTGGTCCTGCCTTCTCCGCGAGTTTGGGGATGAAGCGGGACAGTGAGACTAACCGTCCGGCTAGGCGTTGGACCTCTTTCACCGTTTGTGGGCTTTGCATCTGGATGATGGCTTTGCACTTCTCGGGGTTGGCCTCAATTCCTCTGCTCGTAATCATGAAGCCGAGGAACTTACCTCCCTGGACACCGAAGACGCACTTCTCCGGATTGAGGCGCATGTTATGCTTCCTGACCTGGGCGAACACTTCGGCGAGGTCGGTAGCATGGTCTATTGCCGAGGTGGTCTTGACTACCATGTCGTCGACATAAACTTCCATGTTCCTCCCGATCTGTTGATGGAAAACCTTATCCATTAGCCGCTGGTAGGTTGCCCCTGCGTTTTTGAGGCCGAAGGGCATCACCCGGTAGCAGTAGTTGGCGTGGTCGGTGATGAAGGACGTATGTACCTCATCAGGTGGGTACATCATTATCTGGTTGTAACCCGAGTAGGCGTCAAGGAAACTGAGGAGGGCGTGTCCGGAGGCTCCGTCGACTAACCTGTCAATGCTCGGCAAAGGGTATGAGTCCTTGGGGCATGCTTTGTTTAGGTCGGTATAGTCGACGCACATACGCCACTTCCCCGAGTTCTTCTTTACCAGGACCACGTTTGCCAGCCATGTGGTGTATCTGACTTCACGGATGAAGCCAGCGTTGAGTAGTTTCTGTGTGTTCGGCGATGATGGCTTCCTGTCTTTCGCCACCGACCTTCCTCTTCCTCTTGGCGACTGGTTTTGCCTCCCTGTGTATCGCTAGCCTGTGGCAGATGAAATTGGCATCTATGCCTGGCAGATCAGCGCTCGACCAGGCGAAGAGGTCGGCGTTTTTGAGGATTTCTGTTTTGAGCTGTTGTCGCAACTCTAGGGTCAACTGTTTACTGATCTTTGTGGTCTGTCCGGGGAGTTCCCCGATCTGAAGGTCATCGAGCTCGTCAACGGGGCTGGGCCGCTCGTCGCGAGTGTCGGATCTTGGGTCGAGGTCGGTGACTTTTCCGTGGTCGGTGCGAGCCACGGTGGCGAGGTTGCTGTTGCATTGTTCACCCAGTGGGGCAACTTTCAGGCTTTCGGTATAGCATTGTTGTGCCACCTTCTGGTTTACTTTGACGGAGATGATCTTCTCGTCGTGTCTTGGGAACTTCATGGTGAGGTGTGGGGTGGATACCACCGCTCCGAGCTGATTCAAGGCTGGCCCGCCGATGATGATGTTATAGGAGGTGTCGGCTTCCACGAGGAGGTACCGAACCATGATCTGTCTTGAGTCCGGGGGTGCCCCGAAAGTTGTTAGTAGGTCCACACACCCCCGGGTGTGGACGCTCCTTCCTGCAAAACTGATTAGGGGTTCTATGTGAGGTTGTATGAGAGAGTGGGGGACGTCTAACCTGAGGAACGTTGGCCAAAATAGGATGTCGACCGAGCTCCCTTGGTCGACCAGGGTCTTGTGGACCTCCTAATTGGCTAACGCTACGGCTATAACCATGGGGTCGTCTTGGTTGGGGTAGACTCCGGCATAGTCGTCGTCGGTGAAAGTATGTAATGCAATATGGCATATTTTGTTCATGTGTTTCATGCAAAGTGTTTGGCACATACATGGAATTTATGTAGACAAAATATAGGAAACAAAATGAAAAGCATGTTCATAGCATGTTCTTCATGTTCATGTGAGACTCAAGAAAATGAAAAGCATGGCAACACCTAATAATGGAAACCTAAAATGTTCAAGGAAGGTTCACAAGAAGCAAGAATATGAACCCAAACATTCGGTCATACAAAGAAAGCAAAAGAGAGACAAAGACCGAATGGAAAGAAGACAAAGGAGACAAGGAAAAATAACGTTTACCCTTGATGAACCTTGGCTCTAGGTTGGGTGCGCTAGGCGTGGAGACTCTTGTGAGTCTCTGTTTGGATGATGTCGGGCGAAAGCTGAATGCACCGGGCGAGGGAAAGCTTAGAGCTCTCGGGTTACATGTTAGGTCGGGCGTGATTTGGTTGCGTCAGGCGTGAATGGGTTTGATGTTGTTGGATTGAAAATGATGCTTATGCATGTTTAAAGTTGAAGTTTTGATCATGTATGTATGATATATGATGTATGGTGGTGTATGATTCATATGTATGCTTGGTAATGATATGTATGAAAGTTTAAATATGATTTGACATGTGTATATGTTTATATGAGAATGATATTGATCATGATGGTGGATTGACCATGTATGATGTATGATGCATGATTTCATGTGATGCCTTATAGCATGTATCTAGCCTAGGACTTGAGGAGAGGGAAATATTTTCAAACTGGAAGAGCTCACATAGAGTCTCTTGAGAGTGGTCCTTGGATAGGCCACTGATATAAATGAGAGTGGTGATTAGATAGGCCACTGGTTTTGGGTGAGAGTGGTGCTCAAGTAGGCCACTGGTTTGGGTGAGTCTCCTCTAAGTCCTTAGCTAGAGTTGTAGCGGGGTATGAGGTCGAGCGTTATTCCCTTAACCAAACTAGGGAAGGTGCGTGGTTCCTTGCGGATAGTCGGTGGGCGAACTCCACAAGTGACTTGGTAATGCATGCCAAGGTCGTGGTAAGCCTGTATCCAGTTGTGCTATACCTGACGGTGGAATCAGACTTCTAAGTGTGTAAATGACATCATCAGAGTAAACACGAGTGGGGATTATTATCCTATTTAGCTATGACCAAGCGGGCGCATTGGGCGTGAAAACAGTTGGGGTGATTTCTGTAGGATTGGGATGTCACTTATTCTGCTCTGCTGTTAGGGAGATCTCCTAGGTATATGCGTGACGATGCATTAGATGATTGATATGCATTGATATCTGTCATGAGTTGCCATGTTTGATGAAATGATGATTGATTTGAGATGGAAGTCCCTCTGGGACTTGATTTGGCTGCATGTGTAGTATAAATTTTATTCTGTACTTGTATGGTTGCTTTTTGAACTCTAGCTTACCTTTTTGTTTCCATGTTGATGGACTGCGATGATCATACTGTGTATAGGAGCAGGTCAGGGTTAGGTTGGAGCTGGTTGCTATAAATGCATGTATGTTCATGTACTGATGTGGCATCAGGTGCAGAGTGGGTGTGCCGGGCGTGGAGACCCTTTGGAGGTCTCTGTCTAAGTTAACATCGGGCGTAGGTTGGGTGCGCTAGGCGTGGAGACTCTTGTGAGTCTCTGTTTGGATGATGTCGGGCGAAAGCTGAATGCACCGGGCGAGGGAAAGCTTAGAGCTCTCGGGTTACATGTTTTGGGCCTTGGGCCTAAGACGAAGTGTAATATGATTAGATAACGGATCTCGTCTGGGGCGAGATCCTCGGGGATCAGTTATGATTCATGTAAATACCGAGCTGACGTCACGTGGTGCGCGTCCGATGTTGGTTTGCGTTGCGGTACCGAGCTTGAAGCTCGGTTACGCAGTACGGATAGTACAATATCTATCCATAATTTTAAGAAAATAAATTAGTGATGTTAAATGTAAAAAAAGAAAATGTGATATATTACTTGATTTATTTCCTTTTGTTTCTCTCAACACAACCTTCCTAAGTATTTACATGAAGTGAAAATAAGAGTTGTCTTAAACTTTATCTCTAATTTTATTATTTTTATCTCTATTATCTTCCCATATTTTACTAAAATATTGAAATTAGATCGTAAAAATTCACTTGTTAATCGCTTATTTATAATAATATATCACTATTATTGATCACTTTTTTCATTGAGTCGTAGTCTTTAAAGATAATTTAGTCTCTTACAAATGTACAATAGGTTTAAAATTTTGTTAACAAGTGTATATTTAATTGCCAATTGTTTATAAATTTAGGTTTGATAATAAGAATCAATGATATTATTAATAATATTCAAATAATTATGAGAGCTTTATATATATATATTTTTGTTCAGGAAAAAAAATAAAAAAACTCAATGTCCTTGAATTACTTGGTTCCTAGTATCTCTTATTATATTTCTTCATGTTTGTGAAGAGTGCGGTACAGATTGAATTCACAACTTAAATCTTGTGCTAAGTTAATGTTTAAAACAAGTTGATCAATAGGATCTATCTTACAATCTTCCTACATGAACTACTTAAATAGTGAACTTTGAATAAGAACTAACAACAATATCCTTATTGAACTTTCAAGTGCTTAACAGCGAGGATTTCTTCTTAAGGGACATAACTAATGCATAATTTGTACATAAGAACTAACAAAACCAAGGGTTTAAAAAGTGTTTTTTTAATTTCTTTATAATTTAAATATATAATAAGATTTGTTTTTTCACGACAGCTGTTATTCGTTGCATTAGTGAAGATCATTTATTCACCCAAAAAAAGTCAAGATCATTCTAAAACTTTGAAATTCAATCACAATGAGTTGGCACAAATCTTTGCATATAAAAAGATAAGATTGATTTTAACTTTTATAACTATATAAGTTTTACAAGATTTGTATCTAAAAAGTAAAAAGTATTTTTTTATACACTAATAAAATTTCTTGGAGGAATGTGATATCAGGAGGCACCACAGATAAATGACACAAGTGAGGGGAAGAATTAAGTGGACTTAGTTTGTTTCTTATTAAATCCCACATTGAATAGAGTACTAAGTGGAAGTGAACTAATATATTATAAATGTAAGGTCTTTTCAATTGTCAAATCACGGAGCCGTGTGACGGACACATAGCGAACTATTCTTTCGCCTTTTACTAAAGAATACCGTGTGTTCATCACTTAAAAGCGGCATACGCTAGTTTTTGGAAGAGCCTTCTATATAGAGGCTCTGCAATATCAGTTTCAAATTTTGTTATGTATGTTGCTTCTGTAAGAGTCTATGTTGTTATCAGTTTAAGTTGATAACTGATATTTGGTGTGTAGATGAAGTTGTATGGCTATATGAAGATTAAATTAATTTATTTAAAAGTGTTTTAAATTTCTATTTACAAATTGAGATGAAGATTAAAGTTTTAAACATTGATTTCTTTAAAGGTTAATAAGGTGCTGTGTGTTTGTGTGTTTGTTTCTTGCGGCAGAAGCAGAGTTTCAAGGCCAAATTTAACTTCTCATGACCAAATTTCTTATTTTGTGTTTAGAAATCTATATATTTAAAAAGACCGATGCTAAAAATATTAAAAGTAAGGGAAATATTAGAGACTCTAGCAATAAGCATTAGCAACTTGGAGCACTCGAAAAGAATTTATGCTACTATATGTGATCCATAAAGTCATTATCTAAGAGTTATGAAAGATCTTTCAATTTGTTCTACCATATCCTCCATTGGACCTCACTTGAAGTTTCATTGTAAATTAAACCATAACATTTTTATTTGAGGATTGTATTAGATACAGACTTCAAGAGAGATTTGTGATCACATGATAAGCAAAATGTTAACATTATGCAAAACAGGTGCTACAAAGAAAACTTTAAAGTTAGGTCACAGATAACTGCAACCTTATGGATTGTTGATTACAATAGGACTCCTTACAATGTAACGTTTACTTCTCCATATAAGAGAGCCTGATACAATTTTCTTACTTCCAATAGATGTCACTTTCACAACTACTTTGAAGCTCCTCTTCTGGGATGTTTTAGAAAAAGTGAGGTTAGTTGGCTTCACTGTGATTTCCACTCCCTTAGGTGATACAATGGTGGCATTGTAGATGGTTGGAACAGGACCTACATTGGTCACTCTTCTTCTGAAAACTCCTACTCTTGTGCCTTTCTTGCTTTCTAAGCTCAATTGCATTGTGGGGTAGTTGATAGCATCTTGGCCAAGCCCAGGAAGCAAAGATGAGCAATTTACGCGTGAACCAACTAAAGGTGATAGAGTGGAACCATTGTACCCTTCATGGCATAAGAACTGGATATAGCCAATGTCATCCATGTCATAGACCAAACCAGGACTCACAGCTCTTGTTGGGTTCAATTGACCAGAACCATAGGCAAATTCTGCCTCATTGTTAATTCTCTTGCTCATAGGTTTGGCTTAGCAAATATTATAAATAAGAAAGTCAGTCATATCAAAAAATTTCAAGTTGTGAATTATGACATGCAAATGAATTCTACATTTTTAACTAATCAAATATCATTGTTGATATCACTTTTAAGATAGTTACAGAAAAAGTCAGCATATTTACCATACACAATGATTTATAATTCATTGATAGTATAATGTTAATGTATATACTATCTACTCTATATATGATGCAAGGCTTTTAGATTAGGCATGATGCGAACAAATTAACTAAGAAAAGTAAAAATAGGATTTAATCCTACCTGTGGTGATGATAGCAGACCTGATTGCAGCAGGAGTCCAATGAGGGTGAAATGACTTCACATATGCTGCTACTCCAGCAACATGAGGACATGCCATGGAAGTGCCAGATAATAGGATAAATTCTGAAAATTGAGTGTCTCCTTTCAAACCAGTGAGTGACTTTTTGAGAGTGTAAGATGCCAAGATGTCAATGCCAGGAGCTGCAACATCAGGCTGCATCAAATAGGTTATAGAACACCCTTAGTTTCATAATACCAATCTTATGGTCACAAATACAAGCAGAATAGAGAAGGACCACCAAAACCTGCAAATATTAGTTCATAATTACCTTGAGAAGATTTTGGGATCCTGGATTTGGGCCTCTAGATGAAAAGGTAGCAATAAATGGGGCTTGAATTTGCACTTCATTGCTCTTGTATATCACTGCTGATGGTGATCTTAGTTGAACAAGAAATTCATGTAAAATTGATGGTATGAGATAATCCAGTCAAAGGATTTATTTTGTTACAAATATTTGATTTGAGCAAGTTATATAAAAATTAATAAATAACTATTTATCGATGTGAGAAGTGATTCAAAGAACAAATAAGAGCATGCTTTACCTTGTAGATTGTATATATTTAGTAACAGTGTCACCTATGCTACTATTCACAATGGTAGCAGGTGCCATGAAAATTTGAGCAACATCAGAATAATCGTCACTTTCTATTAAAGTACCAATGCCCCCAATTCCTTTCACAACAGAATCAGTGCCCCATCTTCCTAATTTACAATAAACTAGCTTTCCCTTCACTTTATTAGGCTCTAGGGCCTCTTCGTAGCAGAATCTGTCCATGCATCAAAATGTTTCTTGTTAATAGTTGAACAACTTACCTGGTTTATTGAGAAACAATGAAAAATTACCCTGCATCTTCTTTGTCTTTTGAGTTTTTGGCTGCATCAATCCCATTGATAAGAGGGTATTGTTTTTGTTTCGGATGGAAACAATTCACTCCTACTCCCTGCACATCCTCATTATATGATGTATGCACAAATAAACATTAATGACAAAATATTCTCAACAAGTTATAGGATGTCACATTGGTTAGTAATAGAATCATAGAACTTTTCAAATGTTTTGCAAACTTAGTTTTACTTTCTTACAACTAATTATTTAGTCTTGCATTTTGTAAAATTTTTATCAATTTCAAGGTTTACTTAAAGGGATCATTTAATCATGCCACATGCTATTGACAGAATGTACATTAAATTGAAATCTCAGTAATTTGACTTATTTTTAATTCTAAATTCTCTTCTAAATTAATCATAGTTGTATATGTAAATTTTGGTTATGAAATGAAAATTTGACTAATGAAGGGTAACAAAACACTATAGTATTGGTGAACTATTGATAAAATTTACTTTAGTCTGTCAGAATATGTGAATGGAAAAAGAAACTTACAGAAACATTCTTTTCATTTCCCAACTGTACAGTGCTCTTGAAAGCCCTGTCAATGCCACTAGCTGCTACTGTTACAATCCATGGTGCAGTATTTGTTAAACTTCCAGGAGTTGGACCATCATTTCCGGCAGAAGCCACTGTGATTATACCTTTCTTCATGGCATGGAATGCACCAATTGATATTGAGTCTTCAGCATAATTAGGATTCCCTCCACCTATGGAAATAGATATCACATCCACACCATCATGTATGGCAGCATCAAATGCAGCAAGTATGTCAATGTCTGCACATCCACTAGATGACCAGCAAACTTTGTAAATCGCCAGCCTAGCCGATGGCACGGCGCCACGAGCAGTCCCGTTGGCCAACCCAAAGAGGCTCGCATTTGTGACCAGATTGCCTGCAGCTGTTGATGCAGTGTGAGAACCATGACCATCAACATCTACTGGAGATAATATGTCAGATGGATCAGGGTTTCCATCACCCTTGAAGTACTTAGCTCCAATTATCTTTCTTCAAGTTTGTCGCACAGGTAGTTGTCATGTAGATTGAATTCATAAAGTTAGATCTTGTGCTAAGTCATACATGAATTCTTCAAGTTAATCTTTAAAACATGCTAATCAAAAGTATCTAGATTACAATCTTTGAACTTAAATTACTTTAACAGTGGATTGTGAATAAGAACTAACGACCTCCTTATTGAACTTTCAAGTAAAAGTTTTCTTTCATTTCTAGTTATAATCTATATAATAAATTTTTTTTTTCAGGACAATTGTTATCCTTTGCATTACATTCTAAAGGGTGAATATGGGAAGATCAGAGGCACCACATATGATACAGAAGTGAGAGAAAAGAGAGAAAGAATTAAGTGCGGTTCTGTTTGTTTTTTATTAAATCCCACATTGTGTAGAGTATGATCAAAGGTGAACTAATATATTATAAAATGAAAGGTCTTTTCTTATGGTACATTATGGCCGTGTGACGAGTTCAAAGCGAACTATTCTTTCGCCTTTTACTAAAGAATACCGTGTGCTCTTCACTTAAAGCGGTATATACATATTTTTGGAAGAGCTTCCTTTATGGAAGGCTCTGCAATAAGTTTTTGTAAGCATTGGCTTTTATTGACAGCTAATAGTCATCAACATCTTACCATGCAGATTGAATTTTAAAGTTAGATTTTGGGTTTAATGAGTTGTGAATAAGAACTAACAATTTTTATTTGTTATTCTGATTTAAAGTGCTGTATTTATTTTTATGTATTAATTTGAGATATTTATTTTCAGGACATTTGCATTAGTGAACGTGATTGTATAACTTTGAAATCCATATATTGCAATGGCCTATGAAGAATTATTGCATACTATGACTAAATGAATTTTAAAATATTTATATCTAAAAAGTGAAGAATTTTTCCAAAACAATTCATGCAACTGATTATTTTTGAAACATTTCTGTAAAGGGTGACATCCTTTCGATCAGCAGGGTATGAGAAAAAAAGTTTATGAACATACTGGTTGTATTTTAATACTGGTTGTATTTTTCCAAATGCAAATGACGCAGGATTGTGACATTAGAGACACCAAATGACAGAAAACAAGATACAAGAGTTAAGATTATTGGGTCTACGTTTCTTATAAGGCCCACATTGAATAATGTTCTGAGTAGAAGTGAATAACTTGGTGTATAAAACAAATGAATTTTTCTCCGAGAACTACGGAGCCGTGTGATAAGCACATAGCGAACTATTCTTTCGCCTTTTACTAAAGAATACCGTGTGCTTGTTACTTAAAAGCGGCATACGCAATTTTTAGAAGGGTCTTTCTTATTGAAAGACTCTGTGACATGAGTATAAGATTTTAGTTATTGTTTTAATTTTTAAATTTGGTAATTATTTTAATACTTGAATTTGGTTTAGTTACATTTGGCAGGGATTCACCTATATTTGTAGTTAGGGGTGGGTATATGGACTTGAGTCCGCGGACCGGTCCGTAAGTCCGCGGACTTCACGGATAACGGACCCATTTTTTTTAATCCGTATAATCATACGGACTTTTTAGGCCCGGCCCGTTTAGTCCGCGGATTTTGCGGATTTAATCCGCAAGCTCGCGGATTACCCGTTTAAATGTGGACTCAAATTTTATTATTGGAGATGGTTGATTATATTTGATAGATGTAATTGGACTTACAAATATTTTATGTTTGTTTTTAAGATATTAATTAAGACTTTATGTTTTAAGGTATTTAGACTTTGATGTACTGGCTTTAATATTTGGTTAATAGTTGGTATGCTTGGACTTTAAATTTTAAAGGCATTGAGACTTAAATATTTCTATTAGAAATTTAGAATGTGTAAACTTTGTTATTTAAGACTTTGATTTATTATTTACAATGTTTGATGTTATTATTAGAAGTATATTTATATGATTTTATATTTTTTTCCTCATGTTTTCATAGGTTAAATAAAGGAAAAGAAATTCAAAATCTGAGTCAATATTCATTTAAACAATTTAGATTTAATTGGGCCCGCGGACTTATCCGTTTATCCGTGGGCTTCACGGGCCGGATACGGACTTGAAGATTTAAGTCCATTTATTTCGCGGACCGGATTTATCCGGCCCGTTAAAAATGCGGACTTCGCGGACCGGGCCTTAAACGGGCCGGACCGGTCCGCATACCCACCCCTATTTGTAGTAGTAGTCTATGATATATGATTTAAATTTATTGTGTTTTATGATTAGTTATGGTTATTTTTAGTAAAATTTAAGCTGTAAGTTGAAAATAACACAACCTTAGTCATTTGGTTTTATTTTAGAGTTAAACCCTCGCAATCGGGCTTAGGGTTAAGCCCTTACAATCTCTTTTTTAGGGTTAAACTCTGACAACTTCTTTACAATGGAGTTTAAGGTGTTTTTTCCTCTTTACAATTAAATTTGGATAAATTCGATTTAAGTTGCTTTTTGACCTTGTTTGAGAGGAAAGAGGAAAATGTAATTATTATTTGTTGGTACGAGTTACAGGATTATTGATAAGAACAGTCGTGTTTTTATTTTTATTTTTATTTATTTATTATAATTACTTATTTTTAATTTTATTTTTGTTTAATATTTTAAATAATTTATTTTTATGAACTTTTTTATATCTTTATATTTTTTTATATATATATTTTAAATTTTTATCTTAATGTTGTATGTATTATAATTAAATAGTTTAATATTAATATTTTGTTAATACGTTTTAGTTTTTTTTTGTGTTAATTTTTTGATTTTATAGTATAAATTAATTTTTCAGTTGTAGTATTTATTATTTATTATTTTAATACTTTTATAGTATTATTTTAACTTTTTTACTTTTAATTTTTTAATTCTGTTACATATAAACAAATTTTGTTATGAAAATTAATCTTTTAATACTTTTTTTTGAATTAATCTTTTTATTGATTCATTTTATACAAATTTTTAATTTAAAATTTATTTTGTTTAGAATTTATTTTTCAAATTTATTTGTTCACAAAATTGAAGGTACCAAAATTTTTCAATTTTCATGAGTACCGTAGCAGTTCCCATTAATAATTAGTTAATAAAATTTAAGATATTTTGCTTTAGGGTTAAATCCACACACCCTAAACCTAAAACCTAGTAAAATTTAAGTCTAAGATGAAATTAAAAATATTTATCAATCAGTTTTACTTTAAGGTTAAATCCTCATCGCCTAAACCTAAAAACCTTTATCAATTAAGAACCTTTATTATTATTTATTTGTATGAGTTATGGGATTATTAACAATTTATTCGTAAATCATAATTCTTCACAATATTTTATTTTTATAATATAGTATGTGTTTTATAAATTTTTATTTTATTTTATTGGATATTTTGTATTTTAACATTCTCTTGATAAGATATTTTCTTATTTAGTCGAGTGAGGAGATGATAAAAAGTTTGACAATGATTCTCAATGGAAAAGGGTTTGAAGTGATGTTTGACAAGTTTATACTAAAATACATATTAATGCAAAATTATAAGCGAGTTTTAATGATTTATCTCTTTGAGATTGTAACACAATAAAATATAGGAGTATGATTCTTTGGGTGTGGACACAGATTAGAGTAGATTGGCGAAACTCAGCTAATTTAAACCTCAACTCAATTTATTTTGTTTTTGTTTAGTTTAAAAACCAGATTTAGTTAGAAATTTCCAAACATTTAAATGATAGATCTTAAATCCATTTATCTCAGCTCTGATGTGAAATCCCTTTTAGTTTTTCTAAAATAATTCTGTTTTTATTGTTACTTTGAGAAAGAAATGAAATATTTTCTTGACAAAACCAAACTAACTTGAATTTGGTCTTGGTTTAGTTCTAGTTGAAAGATGATATTTGTCAAAAGTCAACTTGAACATATTTAATTAATTTAGATTAAAAAAATTCAAAATCCCTCATTTTTTGTTTTCGAAAAACTTAATTCTCATGTCATGATCACATATAAATAGCATTTCCCTTTCTATATGTTGAAAGAAGGGAAACATGTAGTCCGTGTTAAATTTGTAGTAATTATAATTTTTGTAAATATTTGTAGTTATCATTTGAAAACAAATCTCTCCGAATAACAAGAATAGTTTGATGTACATTTCACTTTCTACTTATGTAATATGAAAACCACAATTGAAAATTCAAAGAAACGCTTTATAAGGGAAAAAGATTAATAACTGAGAAAATAAATTTTAACTGTATGCCTTACTGTAACCAAAGAAAACTGATTATATAATAAAATGCAGATTTTCAAAAACAAAAACCAAAAGAATAATGTGTGCTTGGTTATAATTTTGCAAATTGTTTTGCTTGAACTTGATTTAGTGAATTTGATTTTACTACAAGTGGGTTTACAATGGTGTGATTTGTACATGCTATTAGTGCTATTAAAAATCAGAGTTTAATGAATAATTTATTAAATGTGTGTAGTTTACTTCATTTTGGTCTAGTTTAATTTATGTAAATTGCAACTAATTCACTGAAAATGAAGTCACACAATGTAAACAAGGAAATAGAATTTACTTATTACAGCCTGAGAAATTAGCATAGTGGCCACAACTTCCTTTCCATCTTGCTGGTGGAGGACCAAATCCATCGTCCTTGAAGCTTTTAGACTCAGGTGTGATCCCTGTCACACCAATATTGAGACAGTTTTTTTGCAATTAAGTTACTAAGTTCCATTCGTTCATTTGTTACAATGATGCACAAAGAAGAAAATAAAAATGGGAACAAAGCTAAGATGAACCTGTATCAAAAAGAGCAACTACTATGTCACTCTCTAATTTCAATCTTCTCTTAGCAGTTGGAGGTAACCCAATGAAGTTCCATGATCTTGTTGTATGTAACTGCCGGTTCCGATTTTGAAACATGAAAAGCACTTCATTCATGGCTACACATACAAAAAGGTTAATATTCAATAACATAATATACATTCTCTGTCTCACAATAACTGCAGTTAAAAGTTTCTACACACAAATAAAAAACAACAATAAATGTATCACTTTTTAAGAAAAAATGAAACTGCACTAGTAGTGTTACGGAGGGAGTAGTATTTAAGGAAACATGAAGGAGTTACAGAAAAATTATCCATACCAGATAACTTCTTGGCTTCATACCCTGACAATTTTGCAGCGAATGCATTGAAGTTTTTTGAGTAGCTATATACCATGGATTCTTTTGCTTCATGGTAGCTAAGTAAGCACAAATCAAAATCCAATTAGCTTAGTCCAAAAGAATAAAAGACAAAGAAAGCAAAAAAAATGTTTCAAGAGGATGGTTTTACTCTTGAGAACTCGGGAGAATTTGATTGAATAAGAGCATCATGTATAGTTCATTTTTGTGTGTTTGCTATGCTTGAAGAGAAAAATATAAGTAGTGTTTGTGATATAATAAGGTTACCTCCCCTTTACATCAGATAAAACATTTAAATAGGTCTCATGTGCATTGCCTCTGCTCTCTGCATTAGCTCCCAAAAAAACAATATAAAAGTTCTGCAGACAAATTATATAATGGTTAAGCTCATAATGAAAGCAATAACCAATTAACATGCATGTTAGAGGGTAGCATTAATGTGAAACAAATTAAATAGATCTATAGCTAATAAGAAATGAAAAGGGAGAAGAAATCAAATGCCTTGTGCTCATTTCCATTAACTGAAGAAATGCCTAGCAAGATTAAAAATAATTGAAGCCATCGAAAAGAAAAGGATTTTGCATGTTTCTGGAGGAACATATTTAGTAGTAACATGCTTGGCTTTTGAGATACTAAAACATGACCAAACAGACTCTATGAAGCAGCTTATATACCATTCAAAAGTTAGCAAAAGAAAGGATAAGAAAGGCTAATACAACTAGCTAGTTTGCTTCTAAATACAATTTTTTAAGGTTTAATTTGGTTGGGAAAGCTTGTAAGAAAGATTAGGAATTTCCAAGTCCTTCTTTGGATGAAGTCAATGTCAAATATGAAGCACGGGATTGCTTCCTCAAGTGAAACTTGTATTCACATTCTCATTTTTCTTTATGGTTTGTTGTTTATCCTTTGTGATCAAAAACTAACTTGATGTCATGACTCATGACCTCCAAGGGAGACTTATAACTTGTTGTCCATTTAATTTCTCATCATGTTATTTAACAATTTGTTATTTGTATTTAACTGTTCAATTTTCTTATCTGTTAGTATTAGGAAATTCATACTGAATTCTCTTAGTTTTGTGTCTTAGTGGTTTAAGATTATACACATGATGTGCCTAGACAATATTCTTTTATATTGATTCCATGCATTATATTGTGCTTTATAACAATGGATTTTGGTACCCAAATTTAGGAAGCAGAAGAGTGTGAGAATTTTAATGTATAACATTATGAAGACACACATCACTGTCATGTATAGTAGAGATATTGCTTAAAAACAAAGAGCCCTAGACATTATGAAGACCTATTCCTTGAATTCCAATGCAAGCTTTTAGCCGTGCATCACTGATTACTTGTGTTTAATGGACTTAGCTTCAAGTTTAACCCAAATGAGAGACACATTGAGATTAAAATGTGGTGTTTGCATTTGTAATACCTGAGTACCATGTTAGTTACTCCTACACCAACCTACACGTCTTTGAAAACTCCCATGAACGTATTTGGTTTTAATATTATGTGAAATATAGTTCAAGACATTTGTTGTAAGGCCATTTCCAACAACGAAATTGTAACTGCGGAAAGTGGAAACAATTGTAAAAGCAACTCAATTCAGGTGTCGGGTGTTGGATATTGGAAAATTTTATTTAGATAATTGGAGCTTATCTAGGTCTACTTGTCGGGTGTTTGTAAGAAATTATTAAAATAAATTTTCTGGATAACCACTTGGTATCACTACTTTTGACAAAAAAAATTTCCTTTCATTACTTTTCTCTATATGTAAAACTTAAATTTAATATCTTGTAATAATTAGAATATAAACAAGTTCCACATCGATAAAATAAGAAAAAAAATAACAACTTATAAAGTACACACATACTTTAATATAGGAGAAGTCTTTTGAATAATGACTAAAAGTAAAATTGTGGGAACTTAGTCCTCAAAACTTTTAACCCAACAAATATCTTGCTAGAAAACATACTCTTTTGCTTATAAAATTATCGTCTATGGTGAGATTTTATTTATTAATTTATTTTTGCTGAATTCTAAGATGTGATGTTTACTCTTTAATAAGTTCGATTATTATTGGTGGCAAAAAATATCATACAAATGAGAATGATGCATGATGTTACGAGTGTTTTATAACTATTTTAAAGAAAGTGATTGTGAGTATGTCTAACTCTAATTCTATAAAATTAATTTTTCACTTATATATTATTATAATTTTATTATTAATCAAAGTAGAATATCTCACAATTATAGCTATTTAATAAACAATGAAAATATCTGACAAAAAGGTATCCTAGTACCTTTTCTAATGAATTTCTTTTTATTGATAAATAAAAGGTAGAAATTAAAATGGAATTTTTTTATAATCATTATTTTTATTATAAGTTGCAAGTAATATATATTTTTTATTATTATAAAGTAGAGGCTTAAAAGAATTAATGGTGATATGTTAACGCTTAGAATCTCAAGTTTATTTGTTTTTTCACTTGAGACAAAGGATCTCTTTCTCTTTCCCATATTACACTTTACACACATTTATTGGGCGCTACATTTTGTCCTATGTGATGGTGCCATGGTATGTCGTACGCAAAGCATTTATAAGGATAAAATATGTTCTTTAAGTTCTATTTGTCTTTCGTTGTTTAATTTTAATGCTCTAATTTAAAAATGTGTTACTTTTTTAAAAATATAAATAAATAAATGTGAACGAGTTTCACATTGATTAAAATTAAACATGTTGATGTTGAGTAGTATATAAATGAGAAAAATCTATAAACTTAATGTCTTGATATTTTGAATTATATATAATATGTTTGATTTTAAACTGATATCCAAATATATTTTATAAAACGGGTAGTTTTCTCTCACTCGGTGGGCCAAAAGCCCCAACAACACTCCTACCAAGCCCAACAAAAAATGGCCAAGCCCAAGCTCCTCACTCGTCCGACCTGGATTTCGCTCTAACTTGCTCTGCGATTTCTGGGTCAGCTACACGGAGAGCAGTCCCATTATGAGGCCCATTGAGCCCAAGTACTCGAAATTTGGGCTATCATCTATTGACAATGGACTTTGATTGTTTTGGTTCCAGGGAGGGATAGTTTAACTCTCAACATGCTAAATGATATTCATGATCATTGAAAATTTGCTGAAGCAGTTAAAATCAATGAATGAGTGTTCCAACTATCGACATGAAAAAATGTTTGTACCCAGCTCCAGCTTAGGAGTGTGATATAAGTTAAAGTCTCAATTCTACGATGATGATAATAAAGACTCTAATTCGTGTACAAATATTAGAATTTGATTTTCAAAAACAAAATTGAAGAAGGATTATTATTTTACTTGCTTTGAAAGTACAAGAACCGGTATGCAAAGCATTTATAATCGAATGTGCATTAGACCAAAAGGATAAATGACAAGGAATGTGAAATAACAAATAATGACTTCGAAAAATAAAGAGGAGGGTTCAAAGAAGAAAAACGATAAAGAAAGTGAATGCAAAAAATTTAAGGTGGTTATGTTTCGAGAAGAAAATCGAGACATGAGGTGATTGTACAAATGTAAAGAGTTTAATGTTGGAGAAGAAAATAAAGGGAGAAATAAATTGTACAAATGTAAATGACTTAGAGTTACTAGATGAAATTTGAGAGAAATAATTTTCAAAAGAACGAGTTAAAAGCATTAAAACATAAGATGGTGGGTTATCTTTATTATTTTCATCTTTGTTGATTCTAGTTTTTGTTATTTTTTTCTTCTTTATTTCATAGTGGTTCATTCATCCTATCTCTCTTGTTCTATCTCTCTTACCTCTCAACATCTCAATATAAAACAATGACTAATTTTTGCATACAAAGTGAGCATTTTTTTAATATAGTCAATTTTATATTCAAGATCATGATTTGAATTCTAGATAGTTTAATTAAGAGACATAAGTCTCATTTGTACCAACATGAACTTGTTACTTGTCAACAATATCAAATGATATATATTGTATCATTTTAAAAACATATTAATTAATATTTGTTAATTACAACATATTTTAAATACCATAAAAATATGTTAGAAGATTTCAAGTTTTAGAAAATAGGTTAAGAATATAACTAAATTTTACAAATTAATTTATAAAAGGAAAAAATACTATTTTGGTCCTTTATAATATTTTAAATTTTTAATTTAGTCCCACTTTAATTTTTTGTTTTAATTTGGTCCCCAACAAGTTAAATCACTGCAATGTCGAACTTTCTGTCCAAATTTCTTAAACAGAGTTAGCTGTTGGTCACGTGGATGCCACGTAGATACATAAGTGGCAAGGTCCGATGTCTTCCTCCTCCTCCTTCTTTAATGCACTTGGAACGGCCCGTTCTGAAATCAGAACGACCCGTTCTAGTTTCAGAACACCCATTCTAGTTTCAGAATGACTCGTTCTGGTCCCAGAACACCAACCCCAAACGATCAATGATTATAGTTCACGCCCGTGACTCTAAATCACGATTGTGAATTGTTCAAGGAAAAAAAGCCTAAGGTACAAAAAAATTTAAACACTGAATTTGGTAATACTCAATGGGGGATTGATAACTTTAATTGCTAAACATTTGGGCTATACACCATTTTCTGGACCAATTGCAGGATATAGAAACTCCTAGAAGTATTAATTATAATACTTGTTATGCAATGCAGTGTATCACTAAGGACATTAAGGACAATGGTGGCAGGTTTTATTTCATTGTTAATCGTGAATCACTTACTATCAAATCGGCACTATACAGTCAAGGATGAAACGACATGGTTTTATTTTCTTCCTCAGTAGTTTATTTGAACTTTCGTAGTATATGTTATGATATGAATTTTTGCTTGTAGTCTCTGAATCATATTTCAGTATTTGAATTTATGTTATATTATGAATTTTTGTTTTCAATCTCTGAACTACATTGCTGCATTTTGTTGAACATACGTCGATTTTCCCGTTTCATATGCAAAATTAACACACAAATAGTGCATGTAGAATGGGCTGTTTTGGTTTCAGAACGGGCCATTCCAGATGCATTAAAGAAGGAGGAGGAAGAGGACATGAGACTTTGCCACCTATGCATCTACGTGGCCAACAGTTAACTCCATTTAAGAAATTTGGATGGAAGGTCCGACATTGCAGTGATTTAACTTATTAGAGACCAAATTGAAACAAGAAATTAAGATAAGACTAAATTAAAAATTTAAAATATTATAAGGGACCAAAATAGTATTTTTGCCTAATCTTTTTTACTTTCTCAACAAATAAATTAATTAATGTGACTCATTCAAAAAATAATTAAAATTAGATAAAAATAATTCTCTGCTCCTATATATATATATATATATATATATATATTTCTTCAATGACACTAGTCCGACGACGGTGGCCACGGGGATGACGGCGAGAGGAGGGCTGGTGGTGTTGGTGTGGATGAGCTTGGAACCTTTGTGCACCTTCCTCGTTTCTTTCATTTTTGTTTGCCAAACCTTCGTGCACAGTCTAGCTTGGAACAATCACTCCTCTCCATTTAGAATTTGACAGTGCCAAGCACTGTTCCTTAGAGCAACTCCAATGGGAGTTGCTTGGCTCATCAAGCAACTCCAACCTCAATTTCTTACCATTGGAGAGGTGTGACATGGCAGCAAGAGTTTCTTGCAGAGAAGAGAGGGTTGTTTAGTGAAGCAACAGTTCCTTACTTTTGTGAACTGAAGGAGGCGCGGTGGTGAGGTGGTGGTTGGACGGTGGAGGCACGGGTTTGGACGGTGGAGGCGTGCGGTTGGACGATGGAGGCGCGTGGTTGGACAGCGGAGGCGCGCAGGTGGACGGCGGAGGCGTGCAAGTGGACTGCAGAGGTGCGCAGGTGCACATTTTGCCACAGGTGGACATTCTTAAGCTTTGCGCAGGTGGACGTTCTGGCTGGACCTGCGCACGCGACGGCGACGACAGAAGGAGTTTGAAGGAGGAGTTGAAAGAAAAGGAAGGGTGAAGAAAAATGAAAAAAACCTCTCAGGAAGAAGAAGAAAAAGAGACGTTTTAAAGAAATAAGAAATAAAAATTAAAAATTAAAAAATTAAAAAATTAAAAAATTAAAAAATTAAAAATTAAAAAATTAAAAAATTAAAAAAAATTAAAATTAAAAATAAATAAAAATAACTTAAAAGTGCCGTTGAAGTAGCCGTTGGCATTTTTAAAAAATAAAATTAAAAAATTATTATAAATATGCATCAACTCAATTCAAAAATTTGGACCTTTTTAACTCTCTTCTACTTCTTTTATCTTGCTTGTTTTGCTCTCAAAAATGGATCCTAACCAATACAATCATAAAAATTTTTTAAATTCTTTCCAAAACCAACCACCACCGAAGAGTGCAAATTCTCAAATTCCTCCGCAATATATTATGTATCCACCATCTTATTTTAGTGAAAATTCTCAAAATCCACCACCTTATTGGTCAGCACCACAATATTATATGTTTCCAACACATCCACCTAGTGGTGATAATTCTCAAGGACCACAATTGTTTAGTCAACCACCACCTCTCACCAACCCAAATGCATTTTATAGGCCTTCTCCTCTACACAATATTGACACTCCTAATAGTGAACCTGAATCACCAATTGGTCTCGATGGAATTCAACTAGATGGAAGTGCAGAGAATTCGTCAACAAAAAAAATTCGTGTTCCATTCACAGTTCAAGAAGATATTATTCTCGTGAGGTCATGGGTCAATACGTCGAAGGATCCAATCATAGGAGTTGATCAAACGTTACGACAATATTGGTCGAGAATCACAGAAGCATACAACAACGATGAAGACCGTGGCGAGTTCCCAGAGAGAGAATCGACTCAACTAAAAGCACGTTGGAATCGAATTCATCCTGCAGTTCAAAAATTTATTGGTTGCTACAAACAAGCAATTAGTCAAAAGAAAAGCGGGAGTTCAGAGAAAGATGTCATGGCATTCGCACATAAGATTTACACTCAAGATACAGGTAAAAAATTTGATATGGAGCATGCATGGGTCATTTTGAGAGATGAACCTAAATGGCAATCTGATTTCGTGCAACACAATTCAAAAAGAGGGAAGGTAACATCTGCAGGTGGTTACTCTTCGTCTTCCAACACAGAGACACCCATTGAACTTGATGAATATGAGATACCAACGCCAACATCCCGTCCGATAGGACAAAAGGCAGCCAAAAGGAAGGCCAAAGGAAAAGAAACTTCCAATACTAATGTTGTTGATTTTTCTGGCATAGAAAATGCAATAAAGGAGAAAAATGCCTATGCATCAAGACTAATTGAGTTGAAGGAGGCACAAGAAAGACGTTTGGCATATGAAACCATAATGAAGGATACTTCCAACATGAATGAGACTCAACGTGAAGCTCATGAAAAGTATTGTAACTATCTTAAACAACAATATGGGTTTTAATTTCTTTTAGGGTTTAGGTAAGTATTTGAGTTTTAATTTCTTTTATTATTGTAATTCAAATTGTGTTGTTGTAAAACTAGCCGTTGTAAAACTAGCCGTTGTAAAACTAGTCGTTATAAAACTAGCCGTTGTAAAACTATTTATATGTAGACTTTGTCATCTAATCCTACTCATTCTCACATCTTCTCTCACACAAAATCCCCATCTATTCTTCTTCGATTTTTAGATTGATACGTGATGGATCGAAACAACAATTTAGATGATCCAAACATCAATTTAGATGATCTTTTGGATCAATTCATAGATGAGGAACTACATGACAACACTGACGAAGAATTGATCCATTTGATGATACAAACCTATCAACAACAACTTCCCAACACCACAAGGTCAAACCAAACAAGGAGGGTAGTTCATCGAAATCGTAAGGAAGGTCATGAACGATTGTTCAATGACTATTTCTCTGAAAATCCAGTATACACAAAAACTCAGTTCCGAAGAAAGTTTCGCATGCGACGACATGTGTTTCTCCGAGTTGTAGAGGCCATAAGCAATCATGATGAGTACTTTCGAATGAGGCTCGATGCAACACATAGAAGGGACCTATCACTGTTGCAAAAGTGCACAACTGCTCTTCGTATGCTGGCTTATGGCACACCTGCTGACTTTGTGGACGAGTATATTAGAATTGGTGAAACCACTACAGTAGAATGCTTACAAAGATTCGTGAAAGGAATTTGTGAAATATTTAGGGGTGAGTATCTGAGACGCCCTAATAACGAAGACATTCAACGACTACTACGGATGGGAGAGGCACGTGGGTTTCCTAGAATGCTAGGTTCAATTGACTGTATGCATTGAGAATGGAAGAATTGTCCAGTTGCGTGGAAAGGTCAATTTTGTCGAGGTGATCATGCCAACCCAACAATCATTCTTGAAGTTGTTGCATCACACGACTTGTGAATTTGGCATGCATTTTTTGGAATTGCAGGTTCGAATAATGATATTACTGTGTTAAATGCATCTACTGTATTTAAAGAAGTTCTTTTAGGAATTGCTCCGACAGTGCAATACACCGTGAATAGAACCTTATATAATATGGGTTACTATCTAGTAGATGGCATATATCCAGAATTTGCTACATTTGTTAAGACCATCTCCATGCCACAGGGGGAAAAAAGGAAATTATTTGCCCAACGACAAGAATCAACAAGAAAGGATGTAGAACGTGCATTTGGAATGCTTCAATCTCGATTCGCAATCATACGAGGCCCGACACGTTTTTGGGATGCCGCAATAATGAAAAATATAATTTATGCATGTATCATATTGCATAACATGATTGTCGAGGACGAGCGAGACACCTATCAAAATTATATTGATTATGATGGTGTAGATGATGACATGTCAAGATCTGAAATATCTATAGATGCTCATCCCAATTTTAGAACAACATACCTTCAAAGGAGAGCAGACGTTCATGACAAACGAATACACTGTTAGTTTTCTAAGCAAGCGCACCCAAGTCTCTGTAGTATAGTAAAAAGGTTGTCGGTCCTCAGGGACTTGTGAAGTAGATTTTGATTTCTATTATACTAATTTTTACTTATAAATTCAAAGCTTGAATAATCACCCATGTTAAATATTTGATATGAGCAGTGATTTAAACTTAAGTAACCAAAGTTAGATTAAATTTAAGAAAATAGATATGATAAACAGTTGGGATTAAATTTCATCAATCTCCCTCCTATGTATTCCTATTGATTCTTGCAAATGATTCTATTACTCATTTCCATTGAGTTCTCTATATTCATTCAGACCCAATTCCTTGGCATAAGAAATTCTAAGATATTTAACTCAATGAATGATTCCTCACTTCATTAAGTTAAATATCCCGCATTAAGAATTAGAACTTGTTGCAACTATTAATTTCAAAACCATCCCTGGCTTTCAAAAGTAATAGGTGATTTGTTTCAAATCTAGATCCAGAAAACGTTTTCCAACCAAATTCTAAATCCAAGATCAAAGATAAATGATTAGTTTATCTAAGCATTAAGAACAGAATTCAAATTACTAGCACTGAATAATAGATGTAATATATATATATATATATATATATATATATATACATATATAAATACATATGAATCAAAAAGGAATACACAGGAGTTCAATGACTACATTAATCCCAACCCTAGAGCTTTAGCTCTCCATAGAAGAAGAAAGCACAAAATAACAAGAAGAAAGGTAGAAGAACAAGATCATGCGAAGAACTGCGTTCCCACAAGCTCTAGGGTGCTCTATTTCCTTTTCTCTACTTTGTTCTTTCTCTCGTGCAACTTCTGATCCTGCTTTCTCTCTCCTCTGCCCCTTTTATAGTTGCTAGAATTAAAACATAGTAGGCAAGAAAGAGAAGAAACCGCTCAGCGCTTGGAAATGGCTGAGCGGATTGGAGAATCCTTCATCATGAAGTAACCCAAAGGGCTGAGCCCTTTTTAACGGCTCAGCGCCTGGGAGACTCCTTCATCCTTAAGCAAGCAAAGGGGCTGAGCGCTTGAAATCCGTTGAGTGCCTAGGAGGCAGAGAGTACTCATTTTTTCGGGGCCAAAATTGCTTAGCACTTAGGGAAGACTGAGCGCCTCTCCTCTATTGCACTTGCTAATCTCTCTGGCTTGAAAGCGCTCAACCCTTTAGAATGGCTGAGCCGTTTGCCTCCAAACTTCTTTTCTTGTTCCAATCTTCAAAATCTGCAAAATAAAGGGAAATTTTGATAAGAAAAATCATCACTCCATATAATGACTTCAATTAAGAGCCTCTTTTTGATTCTAAGTGTATTGGCCAAAATTATATCAATATATACAAAAATTGTGCTAGATAAGTGTCTCAAATTTATATTTCATCAGACTAATTAGACACTTATAATACACCGCCAACTTCAAGCAGATCTTATTGAACATATTTGGGAACGTTTCAGAAATAATAATGATGAAAATTAATTTCATATAATGTTTATGTATTTATTATTGCTTTATTTTATTTTTAATATCTATTTATTGTGTATTTTTTCTCATAATTTATTTTCTTCTATTGTAGTGCAATTGTCCTTTTTAATAAAATTTTTAATTTGGTTCATAAATGATTTGGAAAAAAATTCTAAAAGTTGAATTTCTTAAAGTTTCTTACCATTGGAGTAAATTTCTATTTGAGTTGCTTAATGCTGACATGACACACTAGGGATCACTTTTTTCATTTTTCAATGCATGAAGCAACTCAAATGAGTTACTTCTATTGGAGATGCCCTTACTAAAGCTCCGAAGCTTAAAAAATAGGAACTTCTCTTGCCATGCAGGATCACTCTAATGACAAATGATTCTAAGCATCGTTGCTTATTTTCTAAGAACCTCCCACTAGAGGTGCTCTCAGGGAAGTTTTTCATTCATCTCTTTATATTGAGTCTTTTTTTCCTTTCCGGCTGTTTCCAACTATCGCTTTACCTCTACCTTTCTTTGAAACATTCTGAATTTTCTAAAATGATTTAAAAGATATTTTAATTAATTAAAGAGAATTTATAAAATATTTTATTTTTTTAATAATTATAAATATTTTTAATAAATATTTATAAAATTATTTTGTACAATATTTATTGAAAAAATATTTATTTTTATGATATTTTGTTATAATAAGTATTTAGAAAAAAATGTGTTTTTTATTATAATTATTTTATTTATTTTATTTATAATTGGATTGAGAGAGATATGCTTATTTTATATATTATCTATTTACAAGTTTTTAATATTTTAAGGGAGGGAAGTGGAATTACAGTTTGACTATTTTATTAGAAGGTTAAATGTGGGTTAAGGAGTTGAGAAATGTTACGTCAGTTTATGTTTTACACTTATTTTCCTTCTCTTTATGTCTACACTCTAAAGAAATGAGAAAACCTCATTGGAGATCACCCTGGAGATCCACGTCCTTTGTCTAACGTTCATCGAGGTAAGGGAGAGTGAGTAATCTCGTTCTAGATCTGCGGTATATGTTAGATAGTGAAATTGATCTTTAATTTCTTTTTTGTTGTATGCGCCATATGAGGGAAAATTCCAATTTATGATTTTTCTTGTGTTTCTATTTATCATATGATTCTGCAATGCTTTAGTTGATGTTATTAATGTATATGTATGGTTAATTTCCTATAATGATATAATCTTGTAAATCTTGGATTGTCTGTTGATTCTTGTGAGAATCTTAAGAAAATGCATTTTCATGATTATATGAAAAGTTTATAAGAGTATGTAATTGAGTGTAATTCATGCCTTTTAGATGTACAACTTGATCTTTGTAGTGTTCTTATCGATTGGATTTGAATTAAAGGTATTAAAGAATGGTATAGGAAAGGTTAGAAACCCATGAATAGTATAATACCGGGTTTTAGATTGTCGTAACTCACTTTGAGCGACCATAGTCTCACTCTAAGCAAATTTATCTCACTTCAAGTGACCTCAAGCTTGCTCAAGTGAGTCCTAACAGGGAGTTTCAAGTAGTGCTCGCTTTGATCGAGTTTTGTCTCACTTTGAGTGAGTTGACCTTGCTCAACACTTGCTTCGAGCAAGCTAACCTCGCTTAAGTGAATGATTGGCTCGCTTAAACAAGTAGATGGTCGTATTTGCTTTTGTGGTGTTCATGAAAATTGTAGCCTTAAATGCTAGCTTTCAAATGTCATTAGAATCTCCTAAAAAGGTCTAAAACTCAAGTTATAATTAAATTAGTAAACGAAAGTCAAGCTGTTAGATTTAGGCTAAAATGTTGCAATTTTTTATTTTTTAAAAATAGTAAATGACATAATTAACTCTTGAGGTCAACATAGAAGTTGTAGATAATTGTCTTATATTTCCAACAAAATTAAGATTAACTTGGTAGCATGTATATAGCTTTAGACATCGTATTTGGACCACTTGAGGCCATAGAAAATTAAGTTATAAAAATGTAGTTTGTAAATGGTGATGATGAATGGATTTACCCTTTAAGTATTTGATCTTATGAATGGTTTGAGGTATCTTTATCAATGTTTAGGAAAGAGAAATCATGAGAGAGAACAATTGTGAATAAGTTATAATGTGATTTGGTTATTAATAATGACTTGAAGTATTTTGGTAATAACGATGCGTAAGAAATTAAGGTGTGATATCAATAACATTTCTATATTAGTTAAATTATTAATATAAATGCTCAGTTTGATGATAGTCTCTTAGCTATTATGGTTGATATATTAACATATGATTGTATGATTTTATAATTATTCTATTTTGAGGTGTATCGGACGATGTGTAGTTGTTGTATTTGAATTGTGAACATGTGACTCTTATACTAATTGATATGGATAACTAAGTATGATGTATCGAGTATGTTTTTATGTTAATGTGAGATATGATTGATGTACTGAATGTGAATTGGTATTGGTGTTGGCAAATTATTGTGTGTGGAATGTAATGACAAATTGACAAATTGTGAATATGCACCATGATAATATGATATTGCATTGAGTCTCGTGTAACATGCATCACATGCACGAAAATTGACAAATCAACAAATACACACACACACACACACACACACACACACATATATATATATAAGGTATAATTAAATCAACCACAATTCACCACATCACTCATTATACATTACATAACAACCATGATGAGTGATGTAGTGAATCATGGTTGATCTAATTATACCTTGTTATTAATTTAATTGTATATATATATATATATATATATATGGTGATATTTTGTTGTTGTGTGTTTGATTATTCGATCGTATTTTACGTCGTGAGTTAAAGTAAGATGTTTTTCACTCTTCGTTTCTTGTGTTATCCTTGGTATGTATGTGATGCAGGTGATAGTCATTATGTGGATGATGAGGCTATAGATGAGGCTTATGTCTTGTACTAAATGTTGTGTTTTGATAGGATGTGACATCAGAAATTTAACTAGGATTCTATTTTGTTGGTTTCTTTATGTTTAAGACTTCATGTTAATTTTCATTTTGTAATTGTTATACCAGACAATTGTTAGTTCTTTTTTGTGACGTGTTACCATGTGATACCCTTATCCAAGGGGATTTATGAACCTTCGTTTAATTTTTAAATTTTATTTGCAAACATTTTTCCATCATTGTTATTTTATACGTCTATATTCGTATGTGGGATAAAGGGTGTCACACCTATCATTGTGTTACAAAGGAGTTGAATGTGTATGAGATAAAGGGTAATGACGAGCCAATAACATTTACCTGTTTGTATTGAATTTTTGTAGGTTTACCTTCCCCATCCATTAATCTGATGAAAAAAAAAATTAAATATGTTTTTAGTCTATTAAACTTACGGTAAATTTATTTTTAGTCCATCAAATTTAAAAAAAATTTTAGTTCTATAATTTTTAAAAATCTTATTTTAGTCCTTATACTCGAATTTTGTTTAAAAATTTATCAAATACTGTCCCATAAAATCTATCTACTAATATCTTTGTTAATAAAAATATCATATTAAACTTAGTTGATGCACAAATACTGCATAACTATCTTAATCTATCACTTTTATATATGTTATTAGAAACTTAAGAGACTAAAACAAGTTTTTGAAAACTATAAGATTAAAAAAATAATTTTAAATTTGAGGAATTAAAACCAAATTTACCTTAAATTTAAGAGATTAAAAATCATTTTCAAGCTCTCCAATTTTTATAATATTATCCGATTTTCAGTGTAATCTTTATTATGAACCTTTAACCTGAACAAATAAGTGATCTATATAAGCACTCTAATTGAATTGTTTGATTTATTTGCTGGGCTAATATTTTGACAACGGTGTCTCAAGTGCAGAGGAATTTTTAAATTGGTGGTGGTGATTAAGCAATGCATAGATAATTAATGATAAAGAACATGCAATAGAGGCAGAAACAAGGTTGCAGACATTTTCCTGAAAAAATATGACTTGTGTATAAATTTCTTTTATTTGTATTATATTTTTATTTTAATGCATTTATGTATTTCTCTTTTTTCTTTTGTCTAGATTATTTGTAAATTGGATTTGAACTGTACATTATTTGTGTGAAGTGAGCTCAACCAACCCCTTTTATTCTAATTAGATTTTCTTTATTGGTCTCACAGACCCCATTCAATTTTACTTTCTCCTTTTATTTTCTAAAATTAATATTTTTGTTTTCAGCTGAAAATCGGCCAGATTTGAATGTAAAAAAATAAAAAATAAATAAAAAAAACAACGAAAAGAAATAAAACATAAAAAGGATTTACTTAATTTTTTCTAGATAATATGAAATTATGAATAAATATAAGAACCTTAATTTTCTTTATATCCTTTTAAAAGTAAAGCAAGAATAATCTTGTGATTTTTATAAAATATCTTTTATGCTATTTCATATTTTTAGACAAATAATTTTGTTAAATAGATTCTTTATTCTTTTTACTAACCTGAAACTATTAAATAATAAAACAATTGCATCTTTATGATCACGTGTTGATCATCTAATTAATTAAAGGATTTCCCTTAATAAGAACATTTTATAATATGCATTTTAATTTTTTTTTCTTCTAAAAACTTAGCTACCTTACCGTGAGGAAAATGAGAATGGCAGTGTTTGGGTAGTGACACGAACAGCGAAGAAAGCTTCCTCTGCTACTCGATCTAAAACACCGTCGTAAATTTCCGACCAAATGGACCCTCAAAATGTTTCCAGAACACACACTTTCCTTAAAAGTTTGGGCATGTACAAACCCATTCCTCAGAGTTGTGAAACCAGCGGCTTCTACTCCCACTTCTTTGGAAGCTTCATCAGAGTCAACGACATCAAAAGGGGACGAATTTCTTGCACTATTGCTGTCAAACCCTCAATCTCTGTAACCCCTTTTTCTCTTCTTTCTCGTTATGCTTTGTTTGGTGCCTCACAAAAATTGGGAACAAAAAGGCTTGTACTTCTAAACTGTTTACTCTGTCAATCGAGGTTCTTCATAAATTGGTTTATGCTTATTAAATTTCGGTATCAATATCAAGCTTACGTTTTTTCTTTGTTCCGTGAAATGGGTCTGTGGAGATTACCTTTAATTTGCAAGATAAACTGTTGGCAAATAGCTGAGTGAAGACATGACATGCATGTGATTTGCTTGGATATGTATCCAGGGAGGGAGTATCTTTAATTTTTTTAACTTCATAAAAAATATTGTGGACCAATAAGTTTTCTACACCACTTTGATTCTTGGAATAGGACTACAATTTTAATTTTCAACTCTTATCTTTTCTTTTGTAATCTTTACCTTCTTTCGAATAGGACAAATTGTGCCTGTTGTGACATTCTAAAATGGGTTGGGGGTAAGATTTGTTATTTTTGTGACATGTTCATTGGAAGAAAGTATATATATTTAGATATGAATAAGGAAAAGATATGTAAATATGGTTTTTGTTATGATCACAGGTATTGTTTGGAAAAATTTAATCATCATACAGTGATATAGTTATATATGAATGAGACTCGAACAATCTCTCTTTTCAAATATTATTGATTTATGTATGGTGTAGGTCATATTGTGTCTTGAGCTTTTAAGAATTTCTCATAACCGGTAATCCCATGTCATGTCACACTCGTGATGTAATAAGCATATGAGCTTCATAGGTTTAGTTAATTGGATCAATTGGAATTACTGATGACTTTCTAGATAATTCTTGTTGGTTACATTGAGCATAATCAGTTTGGGAGTATAATAGTTTTTGGCTGTGTCTGACCAATGTTTCAAAATTGCAAATGCTATATTATTACGATCATAATTGCAGCCACACATGTTGCATTTGTCTGCGATTTCGGAGATTGCAGCATAACAGAAATCACAATCTGTGGAGTCAGTTGAGAGGCTGCAACTTTGTTTAAAATAAAAATTTCTATCGTTTTCTTTCTGAGCAGCCATTTTTATTTTATTTCAGAGGTCTAATTTCTTAAAATTTATGTTGGGGGAGGGGGGATTAACTAATGTTATATATTGTTGATGGATATTCATTTTGTTAATTGGACTTGCAGAATTATTTTGGAACACTGCATGGAGGGTCTGTTGGGTCTTTGATTGAGTTGATGTCTATTGCGTGTGCTAGAACTGTTGTTGCCGAGGACAAGGAACTTTTTCTTGGGGAAATGAATGTGTCTTACCTATCTGGAGCTCCAACAAATGTGAGTTCCTTCTAATGAATTTGAAATTTGATTCTCTCTATTGTCATATCATATGCACATTATTGCTTAGTCTGTTCTGTGAAACAGCGAATGATAAATAAACCGTTTGGATTTCAAGCCTTCAGAAATACTTATGAATTAATGCTGCCTGAGGAAGTTTAATGCTTTAGCATAACTTGCATTTGAAACGTAAGCTTGGGACTTCAAAAGTGTATTAGACCTTAACATTAAGCAAGGAGATGTTGGAACTCGGGATTTGGGATTCTTAGCATTGTAAAACTGCATTTGCACTGTTACTGAGCATCAAAAGCATGTACTTATAGAATTGCTTTCAATGTGATTAGTGAGAGATCTAATATAGAACCATTCAAGTTCCAAATTTGGTTCATGAAATGTTGAATTGAAGGCTGAAATTTTTGTTAGATACAATTTTCTACTCATTCAATATGTAATGTAGGTGAGTTGTGTTATGTTCTTCCTCACGGTTAAATTCTTCAATAACTGAATTGTTTCTCCATTGTTTATGTAGACAGAAGTTCTAGCTGAAGCCTCTGTGGTGAAGAGTGGAAGAAATGTGACTATGGTTTCATTAGAGTTTAAGCTGAAGAATACTGGGAATTTGATTTATATTGCTCATACCACCTTCTATAACATTACGGTTGCCAAGTTATGAACATATAGCTTTCTTGTCATTATATTGCTCATTTGGATTCATAAACATTCTCATTCCAGAGAGTAGCTCAAGTGTGCAAATTATGTTAAGATCAATGTCGTCTCCTTTATGTTGATAATTTCAAGTGTATATCATCAATTGAGTAACTCAATAGGTATCACATAGCTGGCAATACATGTCGAGCTTGATGAAGATTTGCTTTGATTCTCATAAAATACATCTTTGGAGAGGTGATAAGTGTGTTGAAATCCCAAGGATTAATCTCGTTCCTAGCCCAAAAAAAATGAAGTTTGTTGAGATATTTCGGAGTTTTGCAAAAGAACCAAGGATTATATTTTTTATGGTTTAAAAAAAATGTTATATATTTAGTACTTCATAGCTAGAAAAAACTAATAATAGTTCAATTGTTAGATAAGCATAATAGTAGTACTAAACTTTGGTCTTCAACCTTTGAAATACATTAAGGCTAGGGTTGAACATGGCTCATCTAGCCCACTAACCCAGTCAAGTCCAAGATTGATTTGGATGGGTGTGGACTTTGAAATTGAACCCATTATATTTTCGGACATAATGTTGAATTTTCACAAAATTTAATATATACATATAAACTGATATGAACTTTTAATTTAACGGTTAAATTTACAAAATTCATAATTAATATAAAGTTATTAAGCGGTGTAATACTTAATAAAAGTTATATCAGTATAATTATAACTCTCCTCTTTAAAAATTGTTCGGTCAAAAATTTGAGACAAATTTAAACAAGGATAAATTTGATACAATTTGACTCATGGTCATCCCTAGTTCTGGTTGTCATTTTGATAAACTAATTTCACCTGAATAATATTTCCTTTAGTTATACAAAAAAATATCATTATGTTTGCGTCTTCTTAAAATATAAATATATATTAAAAAATAAGTTGGGTCCTTTTACAAAGTGGAGTAACTCTAGCTAAAGAGTTGAATGCTCAAAATGAGGTATTTTTACAAACCTATCAGCAATGTAGGATTGTCATTACCAAAATGATGCGATCAAGTTGGAAAATGCATGCCAAAAATTTAAATAACTGTTTTATATTTTGATTCTTTATCTGATTTTTCTTTGCATTTCTGCATGTATGCCTGATCCTAAGTCTCCATTCCATCCATTGGTTGATGATGGAGAAGTGTTTTATGGCTTATGGTCGTTGGTACCATTCTCTGTTTCTTTTCATGCCAATTTCATTCATTTATCCTAAAATAAAAGATATTATTGGCATGCAAAAAAAAAGGAATACAAAACTTAAGAAAGACATACAGAAGTGTTGAAAAGAAACTTGTTAAAATAACCAAGTGCTTGTGTTTCCTCAACCAAAGTTTGTTCTCCTTTTGAATTTATTAACGAAGCTTTCTTAAACTTTAAAAGAACTCATTAATACATACAATTTTGATGAATATGTAAATGCAGAGAATAGTGGTTCTAGTGTTTATGTGGAAACCAATACTGCAACAACAATATCATTTGTTGTGATTGCTTCACTTGTTGGAACTACGTTTCTCGGTTATTATTCACTTCCTCTGAACTCATGTTGCGTCAGTGTTTTTCCACAAACTCTGCCCCTCTGCGCGTGTTTGGTTCTGCATAAGAATCATAAAACGTGCATCCAACACCGTGAAGAAACAAACATGAAAGAGTACACACTTGCTCTCTCAATTTGAGCCTTGTTATATTAGTTTCTTAAATTAAGAAATTGGAAAATAACTCTAACTGCAAATTGACAAATAAATTAATTTAAGTTTTTTTTTAAAAAAATGTACGACTAAAGTGATAATATATATATATATATATATATATATATATGTGTGTGTGTGTGTGTGTATATATAAA